ACGCCACCTGGGAAATCGCAGATGACATTCTGGCTCGTTTTTCCTCCTTTATCGCATGAGGACATGCTCATTCTCAAGGGGGTAGGAATTGATGGAACCCCTGGTCCTCATGGACGAATGCCTTACCATTATGCTTTCCTCCAAGGCCACTTTAGCCATTCTATCATTTTTGATTAGCTGTTCACCTGTTCTTACGTGGCAGCCTACAGGCTGGCCCTAACAACCTCATGTATAAAATGCTATTGCATCAATGAGAAAGGATATTGAACTTTGCCAAATACTTATTTTGTCTGTTTCCTTCTATCTGTTTTGCAATACACTGTGCTGGTACGTATCATATAAGGCTTCGAGTTCCAGGTACTTGGCTAGACCTGCAGTCGCCAACACAAATAGAAGTGAAAGATGTCGCGTTTATATACAACTCTACGACAGGAGCCAAGAATAATAAATTTGCCGAATACTTTGTCGACTTTTTCTTTGTAGGATGTCATTACGAAAAAAAAAAAAATTAATGGGTTCCTTATGGTTACATGTCCACGGTTTCGAGTCATGATTTCTTGTGTGTGGAGACCTCTCACAAAATATCTATATAAACTTTTGAACTCATAATACATGCAAAAATTAACTAGGAGGATGAAAATATTATATATATATATCACATAATTGTTGGACCACCTACGACTTGCTTAATTTATTTCCCTTCTCTCTTGAGAACTTATTTCTCAGTTCTTGTTGGAAGTTTGAATGAAATTCAATGACTTTTGTCCCACACTGGTATAAAGAAGAAAAAGTAAGGTCTTTATAAGTGTGGTAGCCCTACAAAAGGCAATTGGAAGTTGAGCCAAGTAGAAGTCAATTGGGCTTCAAATTCAACTTGGGCATTGAATATATAATATTTAATTATAAAAAAGATGGCATTGGGCCTTGGGGCACTTGGGCATTTAAGATTTAAATTAATTATTTAGTTTCGAATTAATAAATTTGTTTCTTTTTTTAATTAATTCAGATTAGTTTAATTAATTTCACTGGGGGGCATATTTCGTTTTTATTTTTATTTTTAATAATAAATAGTATAACATATTGCCGTTTAATAATCGTGTTATACACATACATACGTATTTTTCAACAATACTTCCATTTTTCGTACACAAGGAAAACGTACAATACACGCACGTGTAGATTTTTCATGTTTAATGCACGTGTTTTTACAAAATTGTCAACAATACACACAATTTTACGTATTATTGAATAAAAATAATATATATTGAAATATTATATAGTTGCCAAACTTTATGATCATTCATATGCTTGGTAGTAAGGTAAGTTAGCCTAAGGAAAAAGAAGAAATCGATTCATACCCACTCTTGCAGGGGTTTTTTTAGAATTTTCTTTAACAAATAGTATAGCCGGGCGAGTATACTATTGAATATAATATATTTCAAGCGTATAGCCGGCCGGCTATACTGTATTTTTTGACCTTTTGTTTTTCCGAGAGTATAGCCGCACGGCTATACAGGTTGTTTGAAAATTTCTTGAAGAATAGTATAGCCGCCCGGCTATACTCGGTTTTTTGAAAATTTCATTGAAGACTATTAAAATACATTGGGTACTTGGGACTTGTGCCAGAATAGGTAATTGGAAGTTGGCCCACACAAGGCAATTGGAAGTTGGGCCAAGTGGAAGTCAATTGGGCTTCAAATTCAACTTGAGCATTGAATATATAATATTTAAGAATGGTGATTTCCCCACTCTTTTTTATAACTAAAAAAGGAGTCTAAGTGGATAAAATAGGAGTGGGGAAATCATTGCCCATATTTAATTATCAAAAAGATGGCCTTGGGCCTTGGGGCACTTGGGCATTTAAGATTTAAATTAATTATTTAGTTTCGAATTAATAAATTTGTTTCTTTTTTTAATTAATTCAGATTAGTTTAATTAATTTCACTGGGGGGCATATTTTGTTTTCATTTTTATTTTTAATAATAAATAGTATAACATATTGCCGTTTAATAATCGTGTTGTACACATACATACGTATTTTTCAACAGTACTTCCATTTTTCGTACACAAGGAAAACGTACAATACACGTACGTGCGGATTTTTCATGTTTAATGCACGTGTTTTTACAAAATTGTCAACAATACACACAATTTTACATATTATTGAATAAAAATAATATATATCGAAATATTATATAGTGGCCGAACTTTATGATCATTCATATGCTTGGTAGTAAGGTAAGTTAGCATAAGGAAAAAGAAGAAATCGATTCATACCCACTCTTGCAGGGGTTATTTTAAAATTTTCTTTAACAAATATATTTCAAGAGTATCTCCGGCCGGCTATACTGTATTTTTTGACCTTTTTTTTTTTTTTTCCGAAACAGTACCCTTGCTAATTTTCTTTTAATAAATAGTATAGCCGTCTCGAGTCCTAGACATTATTCCATCCAGGGATAAGCCCTGTAGGCATAGAAGCGAAAGATGATAGGAGATAATCTAGTCGTCGTTAATGGAATATCCTTCACTATTTTACAAAAAATGGAACGAAATGATCTTGTTTTGTTTCTCAGTTGAAAAGAGATGTCTTGAGCCGGCTATACTGGTTTTTTGAAAATTTCTTTGAAGACTAGTAAAGTACATTGGGTACTTGGGAGTTGGGCCAGAATATGTAATTGGAAGTTGGCTCACACAAAGCAATTGGAAGTTGAGCCAAGTGGAAGCCAATTGGGCTTCAAATTCAACTTGGGCATTGAATATATAATATTTAATTATCAAAAAGATGGCCTTGGGCTTTGGGGCACTTGGGCATTTAAGATTTAAATTAATTATTTAGTTTCGAATTGATAAATTTGTTTGTTTTTTTAATTAATTCAGATTAGTTTAATTAATTTCACTGGGGGACCTATTTTATTTTCATTTTTATTTTTAATAATAAATAGTATAACATTTGCCGTTTATTCGTGTTTATATATATATATATATGTACAGAGAGCTTCCATTGAGGGATCCCTCAAATAAGCTTATTTGAGGGATCCCTCAATGGAAGCTCTCTGTACATATATATATATATATATATGTACAGAGAGCTTCCATTGAGGGATCCCTCAAATAAGCTTATTTGAGGGATCCCTCAATAGAAGGGGACTGTATATATGTATATATATATAAGGGAACGTGGATACGGGTAGTTACTATTTTCAGCCATTTTACAAAACGGACAATGCCAAATTTTCTGATCAACCAAACACAAGATGCTAAAAGGCAAAAATTTGCTACTGAACAAAGCAAGGGTGCCTTGAAAGCCCTCATTGACAAGATTTGGAGAACTGGTTTGCAATTTGGGTTCCAGTGAAATTTCCGGAACTCATCATCCATAACTACATACAGACTTCGATTAGCATATATCTATTAAACCCAAAAACCACAAGATTCAGTATTATTACAAAGAAAGTAAAGACATTTTTCAAGCATTCAAAGAAATTAGAGATATTTGAACTCAAATATCAATGTTATGAATTAAGCCTTGCCTTAAACAAGCACAATTCAGCTTAGGCATTAGGCGCCTATTACTATGATCCTCAACTGTTAATCAACCGGACTATAGTACCTTTAGCATCATTCTGGCTATTAACAAACTCTATCAAATTTCCTGAGTTGAAAATGTAATTATTGCTGGTTTTCAAACAAAACAACCCTAATGCTATCATGAAACAACAAAACCAATTTGCCGTATCAAGAATAATAAAAGCATATCAGCAGCATCAACCCTTCAAGAAAGAAAGAACCAAACCAGCGTGCCATGCATCCACCATTCACATAAAATTAAAGGAATCCAAAACAAAATTATGCTTGTATTGCAAACCAAAGTAGCTAACATTGTCATGAAACTAAGTTGACAAACTAAGCTACAAATATAAATCCAGTGCCAGTGATTGAAAATCTTTAACAGCGTAAAGAGGAAACACACTTTGAAATGCTCTCGCTCATTATACTCATTTTCCTCCATTACCCAAAATAACAAAAGACACAGATAAATACCACAACAAAATAGACTAACAAAACAGTCTTAGATTTTCAAAGCAGTAAATTAAATCACTGGGACACACCCAGCCACTTTGTGAAATTCTCAAACTCTGTGTAATCACTGTCAGAGATCATAGTTTTGTACCAAGCTTTTCCTGCGGCCTTGATAGTAGATGCCTCCTCCTGTATAAAAAGAAATTCAACATTTATATTAGCACTGGTGCCCAAGATCTTGTAACAGAGTAAACAAGAAGCAAAAGAATTTTAGGCAAGATGCAGAATTCTTGTACATTCTCAACTTAAATTGAGGATGGTATGTGTAACTGATGAAAAGCAGTATTACAGGAAGGAACCATTTCCTATATGAAGGAACCCTCACACAGTATGAAAAATCATAATATATTAGATGATAGATCAAACATTTCCGAAACAATCTAAATCAATAAAGAACCCACATCGTCAACACGTAATAACAATTAATTTCCATACTAAATGTTTTCACCTACAAAGAGAATAGTAAATAACATTTGATTCACAAAGAAAATGCACCAAAACTCTGGATGCCCCAAGAATTTGATGATTTACACTTCCAACCCTTATAGGATTTGATTTGCAAATTATAAGGTCAATTATAAGTATTATTTTAGCTTTGGTATCGAAGCAGATGCAAGCAAAATGAACGTCATTTTCCCTGATAACCTCTTGAGTTGCAAGAACCAGACGGCTCACACAGGCAGCTTACTGACACTAGCACACATCTTAGACATCTTTATAAAACAATTACATGAACATTAATGAGAGTTATTCTCTGATTAGAAAACTATATACACATATGAAATTACCTGCTTACCATAATGGACACATGTTCGATGAGAAATGGTTTAAAACAATCATACTGCAATATCATCTCAAATCCAAAAACAGACTACCAAAATAAACAATCATTAACTAGCATATCACCAGAACTAATTAACCATAATAATAATAAAATAAAATAAACACGTAAGTAATATGGACCGATTACCTTTGAAATGGGCTTTCTCTTTTTGTCAAGCTTCTCCTTCTTAGCTTTCACCCGCTGCTCTTCGGCCAAAAGAGCCATCCTCCTAGCAGTTTTAGCGTAAGGGTTCAACTTCAGAAGAGTGTTCAGATTCTTCAATGGGTTTTTCTTCAGAGGCGCCCTCTTGAACTCCTTCTTGATTGGCCTAACCACAGACTGAACTTCATCAGAGTTGATAATCCTCGCCAAGTCAGCATTCACCATCTTCGACCTGGGCAACACGTAGCCCTTCTTCTTCTCCGAAACCTTATCAAATGACCCGTAAATCGAGTCCAGCTTCTCAAAAGCCGATTTGGTCCAGATGACAAAACGACCCAGATGCCCACCCGGAGCGAGCTTAAGCAGGTTAAGCCTCTCGACATTGATAATGTCGACGCCAGGAATGTTCCTGAAGGCCTTCACCAGCTTGGCCCCTTCAGTTCCATACACAATGAGCGGGCCCTTGCGGTTGATGTACCTCCGGTTCCTCATCTTCCCCTTTCCGGGTCGGATCGCGTGGCTGTCCTTGGCCTTTTCGGCGTCAGCGTAAGCCCCGATCTGCTTCAGAAGCTTCAGAGCCGCCGAGGTCTTCTCAACGCCCTCAGCGGAGTCGCTGACGACCAAGGGAAGCTCCGGGACGGTCTCAATTTTGTGTCCCCTGGCCAAAACCAGAGAGGGCACGGCGGATGCTGCAATGGCCGTAACGATGGCATATCGCTTCTGGTTCACGTTGATCTTGCGGTGCCAGCGGCGCCAGATCTTGGTGGGAGCGAACATGCGACCACCACGGCACATGTTTCCGAATGCTCCCTGCCCAGCGCGGTGGGTCCCGCCGCCGGGGACACGTGGGATACGTGAGACGGCGCGTCCGGTACCCCAAGACTCGGCGGAGGTCTGATGGCCGGCCTTCTTCGAAACGGCGTAGGGTTGCCTGCTGTTCTTTGAGATGTTTGCGTGGACGAAGGTGACGATGTCTGGGCGGATGGACGCTTTCATGACGTCGGGTAAGGCGACGGTTTGGGACTGGTCAGTGGCCATGTCGCCATCTAGGGTTTGGACGGTGACGAGGGGACGAGCTGCTGCAGATGCGGCGGCCATTTTAGAGAGAGGGGGAGTGAGATGGGAGGGGGGGAATGCGATGTGAGGGTTTAGGGTTGGGACAAATGAGTGTTGCGTTGCTTTTATACCTAAAATGTTTGGAGGTAGGGTTTTCAGTTTCACTTGCGCCATTTTTAATTATTTTTTTCTCCTTAAAATTTTATGCTCATATTGCATTGCTTCATTTTAATTTTGTTGTACAATGTTTAAAAATTCAACTTATGTGTGGCTTGTTGGTAAAAAAAGCTAGAATATAAAACATTTTTTTTTATTAATTTCTTTTATAGAAAATATTTTCCTTATTAAAAACTTACATTTATGTTTCAATTTGTAGGGTATTGGGCTAAAATGTTTACAATTTAGCTGGATCTGGGCTTTACTTAAATATGCCTCTGTTTTTAGCTCGATTAGTAAAGCGCATTTATCTAAAGTTATGTGTTACATGAAAGAAAAACACATGCTCCCCAAAAATGAAATAAAGTAATTTTTTGAAAATACAATTTCAAACATAATTTTATAGGAGTTTTTAAGATAATGCATTATCGGAAATTACACATTACAAATGATAAAAAAAAAAGGGGCAAATTTGCATTGGAACTGTTCAGAAGTCGTCTAGGTATTTCGAACTGTCAATGCTTATGTTATTCATGCGAAAATAGACGCAAGCTTTGATCTCCTTCCATACATGTGACATTTGACAGGAAGGAACCATATAGCTTTTTTGTTTTCTGGGTCGCTATCAATTCAGATTCTCGTAGTTAAAACTTGTTTGATGGTACAGACTACACATTTGAAAAAGAAGATAAAACTACAACTAAACAGATCTTACAAGATATACATACTTCTATGGAAGGCCTGAGCAAAATCAGAATATGATAATCATACATTCAGGCCACCATACTACTATTACAATTTAAAACCTTTCCAGAGCTTTGATAAACAACTGAAAATTTTCTTCTATTCAGCATATCCTCCTAACACTGTCCTGGTTGTGGCTGCAGAACTACATCCCTGAGATTGGATTCGGCATGCCGTTCTAGAACTAGAACCGCTATTTTCGCTCCAAAACAATACCTAATTGATGGGGAAATTTCAAGCTAAATGTCACTATATATATTTTTTTTTTGGTTGTGAAGAGATCATACTCACAAGGTAAAAATGGCCAAAAATCGAGCAACGGTACATTAGTATAAGATAAAAGAAATGGAAGACATGTACCAGTCAGCAACTGTAAGTATTAAGAAGTTCAACTTGACAGATCGTTATTCAGCTCCGTGGTAACAATTCCTGCAGCTACTGTTTTTGTATTGACATCATATGATACTAGGACTTCCCTCTGAACCAAACAACATTAACCAGTCAACATTAAAGAATATCCCAAGTTATATACATGTAAGATGAAGTCAAATAAGTCATCAATCATTAGTTACCCAGTTCAAAATCTTAAGGAAATAACACAAACTAAGTGACAAGTCAGAACATCAGGGCGATTGAAGAGAGCATGTTAACAGTCTATTGAACTCTCAAGATAAAACATGTTATCTCATAAAGAAGTTCACATGAAGTAATACTGAAGCTTCTAATTTTATTAGCAACTCAAAGTCATCTTATGTTTACCATAGCAAGTCATATGTACAATTTTTGTGAAAAGCAATATATCAGCGCCACATTGTTTTTCATACCAAAATCTAGAAGGGTATCAGGCTTGACAAGGATAACATAGTCTCTGACAAACAATAGAAACATATAGCTATGTGCAAAGTTACATGACACAATTACAAGTATAATAACACGAAATAGTAATACTAGTAATACTCACAATTGGTTCAAAGTCTGGACTAGACAAGTTGATACTGAGATTTCTCATCAACAACAAAACCTGCAGAAATAACCAAATATTACTACTGGCACATCACCTCTCAATATTTACAACTAATTACAAGCACATATCTCATTTCACCTTGATTTGTAGTAATTATTATCAGGCACATATTTGTTTTGTAAAGCCTCAACTCATAACACGTTAAGCCTCTGCAGAGAGAGGGAGGAGAGAGAAAAAGAGGGGGGATGTTGTAGCAAAATCCAACCCTATCTGTGGACTTTGTTCAAAATAGACTTTTACCAAAAACCACCATAATACAGGGTCATCTGATGACATTGACAAGTAAATATTATCTCTAGAACTAATAGACAGGAGCCTACAGGGAAAAAAAGGGTGCTACTTGTTATGCCAGGTCATAACAAGTTAAGTCTTTGCAGAGGGAACACGCACTCATGTTGAGTATCTGGAAAAGTCTAGACTAGAGCACTGATCTATGGACTCTGCTCAAAATAGTTTTTGGCCAAAAACCACCATAGTACAGGGTTCTTAGCTCTCTGATGACATTTACATTGGATCTCCAAAAAGGATAGACAGGCAAATCTTACACAACTTCAGGCATTATTAGAAAATAGCAAGAATAAATCACTGAAAGTGATGTGGTTTTATTCAACTCACAGTTTCAAAATTGATGGGATCCATCTCCCTGAGTTTCTGAGCATGGCCTTTTGAGTCTGGATCAAAAACACTCCCAATGAAGCTATAAACTTCAGAAAAATCAGGAATACCTGCAAAATATTGGAATATGTATGAAAATAGCCCACCGGAAACTTTCTTGAAATTCAAGTCGATGGCAGATATAGTAAAAAAATTATGATTTGAGGATTACCATGAAGCAAAGGAGCTTGTTTCCCTTGCTCTGGTATCTCAGAACTTGGTAGGGTTCTACTTGAGCTTTCGATTTCGCTTAGACTGCATTTGTTAATCCTTGCTAGCCCCTTTGATCTAATATCAGCTGAATCAGTAACGCCGTACCCCATAATAAGTGCTGGAAAGTTCTCAACAAAACTATTTGAACACAAGTATATCAAGCAAAACAAATAAAAAAAGAGAAAGTATACATACCTTCAGTTCCTTGAAAACTTGTAAATTCTTCATGTGACAACAGAATTTGGTTTGATGCAGGATTTATCATAATGGAAGTTTCATCCCAAGGAGAATAGGTAGATGCAATGGCATTCATCGAAGAAGGATACGCAATGGATGCTTGCAACGGAACTAAAACTGCCAATCCGATATTGAATAATTAAGGATGACAACAATTAAGTTTTAAGCTTTAGAAAGACACAATGCCACTATCTTTAACATGTGAGAACCATTTTTGGAGGCCTTTTGTGGGTAAGGATGAGCAGCCTTGCGCTTTGGCCGCGGAGGAGGCACATGAGCTGTTGTCCCGCTCTTTTGAACTTTCAAGAAGTATTTCTGAGCATGACTTCGAATCTGCAAAACCCCAATTCTTAAAACCTCTCAAATCTAAAACGGTCCCCAAAACCATACCAATTTCAATCCACAAAGCAGAATTGCTTGCTTCATACCTGAATAACCGTTTTTGAACCCACAAAATCTTCAATTTTCTTCCAGTCACGGTCAAACCTGAAAATCCCACAAAACTTCAAAATCCACCAGTACCAAAATCTACTGTTAGTAACTTACAAGACACTAAATTTTCCCACACTTTTCACATTGCATCACTCAAGTCACAATTCTCAGACATGATCATCACCTGTAAGTGACTAATATTAAAGTTACAAACTTGAAAAATTCCAAATGAAACCCAGAACCCAAAAGAGAAAATCATAAGTGAAAACAGGCCACACAAAAAGCTACACAAAAAGCAATGAAAACCCAACAAGCAATCAACCAAATTCATCAGCTACTTCAAATAGAATGGAAAGTAATAAGCAAAGGAAACAAACAAAATAAAAAGTGAACTGACAGTTGAAGAGCTTCGAGGAACTTGTCGTGCTCTTCGTCGGTCCAGCTTTCTCTGGACTTGGTGATGGTGTAGGGCTTGCGGACCTTCTTGCCCGACCCGTCTGAGGGCGTTGAGGCTGCTCCCATTGATTGGGGGTTGTTGGAAGAAGTGGGGTTCATGTGGCTTTGGGAAGCATAAGACTCACTGAATGAATGAATGAGAGTTGGCGAGAGAGGGAAGAGAGAGAGAGGTGTCTGCGTTTCTGTGGCAGGTTGGGGTTTCTGTGTGTGTGTGTTGGGAAATGCGAGGTGGTGGCTTGTAGGTGAATTGAGGCCGCCCAATTATTTGGCCACCAGTATTTCCCACTACGCCGATCTAATCGTCCCGCGTCTTCGTTTTTCCCTCGTGAGAACAGTTTTACTGTGCGGACAAATGTAGAGCAATTATTTGAGACTTGCAGATGCTGCTGTTTCGTTGGTCTTTAATTTGCGCGGGCGCAAGGACCCCAATCCAAGTGCTCTATTACTTACACGTGTTAATTTTGGAATGCTAGATGACTTTTTTTTGTTTTGTTTTGGTTTGTGTGGCCAAAGTTGAAAAAGGGCAATGGTTTTATCACACATGCATTCTATTAAAATGCCATAAGTCTCATCAGAGTTCGAAATTAGGCAATGGTTTACAAGTCATGGCTTTCACATGACTAGACTCCGTTAACAAATGTTATGATTAGCTTGGATCCATCTCTCCAAGGGATTTTATTTCAATGAAAAAATATTAATCAGTAGTATAATATTAAATAATGTACCATATGTTTCAAAATTTGTATAAGAAAGTTGAAAATTATTCATATCTATCGTTAAGGGAGTGACTTTACACATCCCGCTTACGAATGCTAATTCTTCTCAAGTTACATCGCCCATTATAACAATTATGAAGTCACACTATATAATAAGCTCAATCTCATACTTGTATGATATGTTGCTCTTGTACCAAATTATAAAAACCTTGGGTAGAATTTGACTTTACAAAACTGACTTGCAAGAAAAAATGCATTAGAGCTCGTATATTATTGTATATACATCGATTTGTATTAAAAAAATTTAGAGAACTCTTGTATTATTTGACAAATAAGATGTGAAATCACAAGAAAATTACAAGCATTTTTAGAAAAATAAGCTCTCTTTTACAAATTTTGTGACTTCATCCAACTACATCAGTCACCTTCCCTTATTGGATGGCATAAATTGAATATCGATGAGAGCTACACCAATATCCTTCAAAGGATTAACTAATGCTAGTGGTTTATTAAGAAGCCCCTATGAATTAAAGGGTTTTGTTTGTAAACTTGGTATATGTTGTATTTATTGG